ACCGGTCCGTTTCCTCACACGGCCTCAGTCCCTGCAGCTCGATGGGGGATGCTGCTAGTGAATGAAGGTTTCCCCTCTACCAGACCTGATCAAACTGAAAGGCCCAACCAGATTAAGGAATGAAGCCTTCACCAGACCTCTTTATTGCAATGCAGTACACCGCTGCAGTTAGTTGCATTTAGCAATTGACAAGGCTCCAGCAGGTACAAAGCTTCAGAGAAGTGACCAGAAAACATAGACTTCTCCTGCCACTGCCCCCACCACTAAACCATAACTATGTTTCGGGTAAGGATGATAATGCTGTGAGCCAGCAAGTGGTCCATCTCCCCCCCCACCCAAGCCCACTGGCTGTGAATTAGCTTTTGACTGCTTTTAAGGTTGACAGGGAGGATTTTCACTGGCCCGAAAACACTCCCAACAATGATGCCACTCATCTTTCGGCTGCTGTTTTGGACAGGTATGTACTTAAAAGATGTTAATGGTACCATTTTCAACGCCTCCTCTCCTTGGGACTGATTGTACGGTATGTAACATCTTTTACTATTTCCCAGAAACCAATTATTGAAACAGGAGAGGTCATTCAGAAGGAGATTTCGGTGTGCCTCTGGTTCTTTTTTCCTTCTTTCTGGCTTCATGCTGTAAAGTTACACAGTCACCATTTTCAACTGTTGCAGGCACCCCATTTGCCCCTGTAAGACTCCCCCCCCCATACCCCATAGAAGCGGGATGACAACACAGTTGAGTCTTCCTTCTGGCTCCATCTTGGAGCCGTGTCATTCAGTTCAGCCTCCTGCATATTGTTCAAGCCGGGACAGCACCTCAGAGGGGAAGAGATCCCTACAGTTATTTTAACGCAACAAAGACTCTCCTTCCCAGCCTCAAACAGCAAGAGTTTGGTCCTTTTGTGCAATGAAGCAGTTATCCACCTGGCTGTAGACAAGCCAGTTCCCAAGATAATCTCTCACATTAACATGGCCCACAAAGAGAGCAGCGGGCAGGGCTACGTGGATGGAAACCTGGCTAGGGCAGTGAGGTCACCAGGGGCTGTGGCCAGATACAACCGCCACCCCCAAAGGGATCTCCTAGTAGCGCGTGTCTTAGTTTCTACCATGTAAATGTACGATGTCATGCGCCCTCATGGAAAACAGCACACACTGCTTCGAGAGCCTGACAGTGAGGGCAAAATGCGCTTTAGTACACTAACAGGCATCGTGACGGGAGACATGCAGGTTTGTGTGCACACAGCAGGGCCCTTGTAATATACAAGCACACCTCTACCCCATCCATCATCAGTGAGGACGTTTTGATAGCACTCATGGAAGCAAGGAAGCTTCTCCTCCTTTAAGAAAACAAGGATAAGCACCAAAGGCCAGTTTTGTACAAATCGGGAGTTGAACACAGTATCAGAACTGGAAGCCAGCTGATGCTTTGTGAGATCTGAGGCCTTGTGTTGCATAACAGGAACACGCCTCAACTAAAATGGTGCCCCTATTCTACAGTGCCTCCCAACTTGTCAACAGAACTTCAGTTCTTAAGAGAACAGTCTGGTTATAACTCCATTGGAAAGTTATAGCTAGACCTTCGCTAGCTCCATTTCACTCTCATTCCCAGGGGAATGTGGCTGACCATGGTAAGAGACAAAGAGCAGGCCCAAATGGATGCTGGCCCCTGATACCTTGTGCTTCTGGTTCCTGGAATTTGAGCTTCACCACAGGAGATCTGAGACCTGTGTTGGTGACGCCACCCGTTCTATCTACACTTGAGCACAAGGGCCTCATTTGTTTCTAGTGACCACACCTTTATGTGACCAGGCAGAGCATGATGGGGTTACACAGCAGTCTGTAGTTGAAGTACCTGAGACAGAAAAGCCGAAATTCAGCTAACTTGCATGAGTTTTTCATCAATGCAGCAAATGCTGAACTACACTCATTCGACGGAGCCTTGTTCCCCAACTGGAGCCTACAGAAGCAAGGGGGCTCAAACCAGCCCCTGAAGGATCCAACTGCAGACTTGGATCAGAAGAAGGTGCCGAGATGGGGTGTTCCGGGCAAGAGACAAGCAGAGGTGGTTTGCCCTTGCTGAACTGCCCTGGCTGCTAGAATGAGATCAAGAAGACGGCTACAAGAGTTGCCCGGAGCTGGGGCTCTCACTCGCTTCTGGGGGCTTAATCGCTTCCCCCCCATCAACTCAGATGACGTCAGATCTCTCTGCAGCCATGAGGGCTAGAAACTTATTTTTGAAAGGAAAATTAAAACATGAAGTTGAAATGATTTGGATTCTAAAATGAGAAACCCAAATTCCTCCTTGTAACGCGGTTTCAGTGCTGCATTTGGCCTGTGCCTGACCCTGCCCCCAGCTGCTCCACTGCGGTAGTTTGAATTTCTTTGATGGTGCTGATGGATGAGGACTCGGCTCTGCCTGCGCCCCCCTCTTGCTCTTCTTACCACAGTGAGAACACATCGTTCAATATTTAATTAGCCTTTTACACCGCTTTAATCCAATTAACCCAGTGTAGTGCCTAATACACACTATTAGGCCATCTGAATAGGCCATGAATATCCTCCAATAACAAGCAAGGCTTGAGGATGGAATGAATCCTACAAATGAACCTGGGACCTTTGGCAGCTTCGCCGATTTCCACCTGGGAACACACACAATCGTGTGGAGCTCCTATGACAAGTCATGCCATTGGTTCACCAAGCCCAGTGCTGCCTGTTTCAATGGGCAGTCTCTCTCTAACACTGCACAGAGAAATTAGTAGAAGATTGGATTTATACCCCACCCTTCACTTGGGGGAGCGGCTTACAAACTCCTTTTCCTTCCCCTCCCCACAACAGACATCCTGTGAGGTAGGTAGGGCTGAGAGAGCCCTTTCCAGAGCTGTCCTTGAGATAACAGCTCTGACAGAAGTATGGCTTGCCCAAGGTCATCCAGCAGCTGCAAGTGGAGGAGTGGGGAATCAAACCCGGTTCTCCCAGATTAGAGTCCACATACTTAACCACTACACCAAACTGGCTCTTAAGTCTTTGCTACCTGCAATCCTCTAAGACAGAGATGCCCTTCATAGTATTGGGATTATGTGACTATAGCCCTCTAGCACCTGAAGAGACAATCATGACCCCCCCGACACCAACAGTATCAAGACCACCTTGGAAAGTATAGCAGCAGCTGGAATGGCTTCAGTTTAGGAAAGTGAAGATACCAGCCACAATAACAAATCATAAGAGGCTCCAGAAATGCAACATGGTAAATTAACTAGCCTCTAGGATGTTTTCCAGGAAATTATTCTTCTGTTTCCAAGAGAGATCCATGAACAGGATGAGTGAAAGCCACCATCAAAAATCTTCCACTGTGGATTATTTTGCTCAAGAACAGAAAAGAACTGGAAACGATAGGCACAGAATCGGAATGGAAAGACTTCCTCAAACATCAGTAGTCCGAGCAGAAAACATTGACCCCTGTGAGATAAGGAAGACGCTGCTCACTGGCCTGGACTGTGTGTGACCGGGATTTGTGTGTGTGGCGGCGGCAGATGCACTGTGCCACTTCAGGTGGGGGCATACCATTTGTATGCCCTTATGGGGGGGGGGAGAGCATTAAAAACCTCCCTGCAAGAAGAGAAGTTGCACAGTAGAGAGGGAGGATCCACAGCCTTCTCCTTATTTTGCTGAGAGATTTTTGCTGCTTTTTTTAAAAAGGCTTTTACAAATGTGAGCATGCAGAAATGTGATCCCATCCCCCCCCCCAAAGTGGTGTTGGTAAACCAGTTAACGGGGCTGAAAGACCAAAGTGGATTTATAAAGGTTTATTCCCAGGCGAGATGTTTTCGTTTGAATGAGACGGAGTGGACTGCCACAGAATTTGGTTAACTCAATTTCATTTTTAACAAGTTTACCCCCCCCCCCATCTCAACCGCTACAAAGAATGCTTCCCTCTACAAATGGGACTGTAATTGGAAGACGGGGGACTCCTAGCATAATGCAGACACGACTCTTGCCAAAAAGGTTGGAAAGGGCACAAGGCACCCACATCGACTTTGAGATGATCATATGATAGGTCCAGTCTGAAGGAGAAAGAAAACCCACTGTGAGTGAAAAATATCAGAGGCTCCAAATTTTAGCCTGGGGTGCCCAACTGCATGACATACCTTATTGTTAACATAACTTAAAACTTTGCATCCAGTATTTGGCACAGATCTCACCTCCCTGAAGAGTCCCTTCTAAGGAATCCCCAGCAGCCCCAAGACTTACTTGACAACCTCCGCTGTAGCAAAACTAACCAACTCTTCTTCCATGAGTACCACTGGCATGCAAGACGTTTTCAAACATTTTTAAAAACCACACATTATTTCTAATAATTTAATCGTCTCTGGCACAGCGAGCGCTGGTGCCCTTTCAAAGCTCACTCGCACAGGAAGCTTTGCAGCCGATCTCCAAGCGGCCGTTTGCAGTGCGGGCTTCCAGCCTGCTGCCGATCTGAAGGGAGGTTCTCAAATTCCAGGCTCCGTGTGCCGAAAGGACATGAGCGGAGGGCCTGCGTCGAACCGGGCCGGGAAATCGGAATGGTTTCCAGAGGGTCTGTGCTGGTGTGCTTTGACCGAGGAGGCCTTCTCACCTCTCGGGCTTGAAATGGGGCACGGGGCCCCTTTGCTGCTCCAGCTCATCCAGTTCCATTTGACGTGTCCCCCTTGAGTCCTTCCACACCTGTACCTTCCAGCAGCTGCTCCCAGACTGGGTGGTGCCTGGGCCCTCAAGAAAGTAACCTGCAGCTCTTCACCACGAGCCGTTCTCTAGAAAACGGGAGAGTCACAGAGCGTACAGGGGCCCTGCAATAGCCTCTTGATCCACTCTGGATCTGGAAATAAAGAAAAAAAATTGGTGAAAGATTTTGTTTTGTTTTGTTTTGGGGGGGGGACGACAAAGTTTTGAGCAGCCTGCTTGGATAAGATCTCCACATGTTTTCAAATAAAGGACTATGAGGAAAGGTTAAAGCGCCTGGGGCTCTTCAGCTTGGAGAAACGACGGCTGAGGGGTGACACGATAGAGGTTTATAAGATTGTGCATGGGATAGAGCAGGTCGAGAAAGAAGTACTTTTCTCCCTTTCTCACAATACAAGAACTCGTGGGCACTCAATGAAATTGCTGAGCAGTTGGGTTAGAACGGATAAAAGGAAGGACTTCTTCACCCAAAGAGTGATGAACACATGGGATTCACCGCCACAGGAAGTGGCGGTGGCTACAAGCATGGACGGCTTCAAGAGGGAATTAGATAAGCATATGGAGCAGAGGTCCATCAGTGGCTATTAGCCACAAGGTATAGATAGGGGCTCTGGGGCAAGGGATGCTCTGTATTCTTGGTGCTTGGGGGGGGGGGTCAACAGTGGGAGGGCTTCTAATGTCCTGGCCCCACTGGTGGACCTCCTGATGGCACCTGGTATTTCTGGCCACTGTGTGACACAGAGTGTTGGACTTGATGGGCCTTTGGCCTGATCCAACGTTGGCGTCTCTTATGTTCTTATGACTGAAATGCGTAATCATGGCTAACAAAAGTGGGGGATAAACAGAGCCACTTGATATCGGGGGAGGTGTGTAACTGCTGAAGCGCCACCTGTCGCTGAGGAGATGATAATGGACTCCTGCAGGCGCCCCCAACCTTTTTGAGCCTGTGGGCACTTTTGGAATTCTGACACTGGAGGGTGGGAGCAGCTACCAAATGGCTGCCAGAAATGGCAGGGCCAGCCACAAAATCTCAGGGACGGAAGTCACGCGTCACTATTCCAGGCAGAAGCTCTGCTTAACAGGATTTCTTCTGAAATGGGCGTATCATTTAAAAACATTTTCTTGCCTACAGGCAGCTTCTCTTCAGTCATACAGTGAAGAGCTCATTGTGCTGTGGTGGCAAGCTGCCGCCAAAGCAGCCCTTTGAAAATCTGCACTGCCAATCAGATCTCCAGTGGGCCAGTCAGAAGCTCTGCTCGGCAGAAGTCTCACCTGGCCTTGCCCACTTTCGAAAAACATTTCACAGGCACCAGAAAAGGTATCCACGCTGGGGAACCTTGGACTGGTGCTTGAAACGAATGAGTTCTGGAACAGAGTCTGCAGTCCTGGTACTCCGGCAAGCTGCCGCCAAAGCAGCCCTTTGAAAATCTGCACCGCCAATCAGATCTCCAGCGGGCCAGTCAGAAGCTCTGCTGGGCAGAAGTCTCACCTGGCCTTGCCCGCTTTCGAAAAACATTTCACAGGCACCAGAAAAGGTATCCACGGGTACCACGTTGCCCACGGGCACCACGCTGGGGAAACTTGGACTGGTGCTTGAAACGAATGAGTTCTGGGACAGAGTCTGCAGTCCTGGTACTCTGTCAGCATAACACACACACACACACACACAGAGTCAGAGCAAAGACCTCACCCTCTGGGGTTGGATGCCGGGCGATGCTGTCCCGAAGCAGACATCTTCTGTACACCAGACTCTGACAGGACTGGTAGGTTAGAAAGCACCTGTAAGGGGGGCAGAGCAGGATCAGCATCACAAATAGAAGGCTTAAGGTTGTCCCCACTACTGAGGCCAAACGGCAGCAACAGGGTACGGTCTGCTCCAATGTTCCCTCTAAGCTGTGAAGCCTTGTGAGCAAAAATCCTACTTTGTGAACTACTGCCATTAAAGTTGTGAGCGAGCGACTTGGCTACTGCATAAATTAGTTGGCTCTGGAGTCATCCTTCCCGAGCAAAGACAAAAAGGTGTGAGCCGGAGGTTAAAAATCTGTGAGCTAACTCACGCTAACTCAGCTTAGAAGGAACACTGGTCTGCTCGTGTTTATGTGTATTCAAGACACCCTCCGGCCCGTCCATCAAATATCTTCCAAAGTGGCTTGCAGAGCACCCTAAATTACGACAGTCGCAAGACAGAAAATATTTTAAACAGAGGTCAGAGGTAGATGTAGATTACAAATAACCGATGCCAACTGGATGGTGCCAAACTAGAATAGGCACACACACAGAGCTTTGCTACACCCCGATTCCAAAGGAGGGCAAAACAGCTGCACTATTTAATTCTGGGTCTCTCTTGGTTCGCCCACCCCAGATCCTCATCAAGAACCTCAGTTTTTGTAAGTTGTGGCCAATGCCTGATTGAAGTTCTCCAGATAGGTCCAAATGATACTTCCACTAGTTCACAGAGAGGCTTTTAGTCGCCTATCGAGGCCGCTTTTGGTACAGAACTTCCTCTCCCGATCCTATAAATCTTTCACCTTTTACTCCAGTTTCTCTGAGGTACAGAACTTCAAAACCTTTTAGTAAATGCAATACTACAATAATTCAGATGACTGTTTTAATATGCAAGGTGCAATAATGGAAATACAAAACTCATTTTCTGCCTGATGTTCCTATGAAAGCAACTAACACTGCTGAAGCAGCTGATCCAATACAGGGTATCATCAGGCGGCTGTGATGTACTCTCCATTTGGCTTAAGCGCAGCAGGCAATGGATTCACTGAGATGAATGCTCATTCCCCGTATTTGGAGCTCGGCAGGCATGTTCCTCCTAAAGTAACGATATTTATACCTTGCCTTTCAGGTCAGCTGAAGGTCCCCAAAGAAGCTTGTAGGTCAAAACTTCACATCATAAAATTTAATGTACTCTAAATTTGGGGGGGAAACAAACAAACCCCAGTAAAATCCTAGTGTAATTAAACTATGCTTTACAACAATCCAACGTGTGGGGAGTTCTTAGTCTGTCTTAACTTTCTGGCTGATAAATCTGCTTCAGGAAGGGCCACTGATATTTTATCGGGACTTCCAAAGACAGAAAACATCTGGATGCCTTCTGTGCATGTCAGAGAGAGGGGGGAGCACACTTTGCCACCAGTTAGGGACCCAGGCACCCAGCTGCCAAAACCCAAACTGCTTGGTGTAGTGCTTAAGTGGGCGGACTCTAATCTGGGAGAAACGGGTTTGATTCCCCACTCCTCCACTTGCACCTGGCTGGATGACCTTAGGCAAGCTGTAGTTCTGGCAGAGCTGTTCTTGAAAAAGAGCAGTTTCTGTCAGAGCTCTCTCAGCCCCACCCACCTCACAGGGTGTCTGTTGTGGGGAGGGGAGGGGAAAGGAGTTTGTAGCCACTCTGAGACACCTTTGGGTAGTGAAGGGCGGGGTCTAAATCCAATCTCGTCTTCTTCTTAACACAGTCTGCCTCTAAAATAAGCCATCCTGTTCTAGCACTCCCAAGACTGGGAGGTGCCTGATCTTTCCTGGGCAAGCGTGGACAACGTGATTCTTTACTTCCCTTGCTGCTCAAAAATACATTTCACCGTTGCTGCTGAAGCCCCCCCCCCCCTTTCGCCATCAGATAAAGGAACCGGCACTCACTCAAGTGTGGCTTACCTGAGCCAAACGTGTCCGTTGGAGCACACTGCCTGCTTACGATCGGTGAATGGCAGGATCTCTTTGCACAAGCTGCAGTGCTCTGGGAAAGTCTGTTTGTTCATTTTCTTTAAAATATGCCCAATCAGCACCTGGGAACACACAGCAGCAGTCAGCAGCCGCGTTTATAGGAAGAGACAGCTGCCTGCTGAAAGGCAGAGAAATCTCACAGGAGACCGGAGGGGGGGGGGATCGAAGAACACAAGATGCAAAAGCCCAAACCCGCTTAAAATTGCATACAACGGAATGAAAAGGCAATGCAAGGCATCTAGGGCTTGCAAAAGGCAGTGCAAGTGACTTCTTCATGTGCCACTCAAGTAGTCTGCGGAACTTAATTGCCCTAACTCTCAAAGAATTGATGGCTGAAGGAAACCTGAAAGAGAAAAGCTTTGTCTCAAAGCACTTGTTACCACTCAGAGAACATGATAAGATATTTTTGAACACTCTTTTGTATGTCAGGTGTGTTTCAAGTCTTAGCTACTTCAGACATCTGCAGGGGGGGGGAAATACAGGATTTTGGCAACTGCACAATATATTCAATTGGGAGCCGATTGTTGTTTATGTTGTACTATTAATGGACCCAGTGCTTTGCAGAGCACACACAGAGCCATCTGCCCCAAGGAACATACAGTCTATATAACAACAGGAAGAAGGGAGGGATATCCCAGTAATGTCTCACTGGCCACTCCTGGAAAATTTCTGAGGCTTACAGAAGACAATTCTCAGAGAGCTACGGCAATGAATGACAATCGTCTCCGACCATAATGAACCAGAAGTTCAACATATGACTTGTAAAAGGGAGAGAGAGCAGGTGGGAAATGGGAGCGACGTCCTCACTGCCACACAACTTCTTCCACTTTAGGAAGGGCTGGGAGGGGGAATCTCAGTGGCAGAGCATCAGCTCAGAATGCAGAAGGCCCCAGGTTTAATCCCCAACATCTGCAATTAAAGAACCTCGCAGGGCACGTGCTGGGAAAGACCTCCCTTGGCCAGCAGTCTAGGAGCTCTGCTGTCAGTCCAAACAGACAGTACTGAACTAGGTGGTCCAAAGGTCCGGTCTGGGAAAAGGCAGCTTCCTACGTTACAGCAGAGGTCATTTTTGGGGGGAACGCTGTTCCCCCGGGTGAGGTGCAGGAGGGCGGGGCACACGACGAAGCCCCGCCCCCTGCTTCCGGCCGCCCCGCTTCCAGCCCTCATTCAACCAGGAGGAGGCAGGAGAAGAGGGAGGGTAAGTTGCTTCCTCCCCGCCTCTTCCCACCCCTGCCTGCCTGGGGCCAGGGAGGGCCTTGGCGGGGCTTCCTCGCACTCCTGCTGGAGCACACACAGAGCCATCTGCCCCAAGGAACATACAGTCTATATAACAACAGGAAGAAGGGAGGGATATCCCAGTAATGTCTCACTGGCCACTCCTGGAAAATTTCTGAGGCTTACAGAAGACAATTCTCAGAGAGCTACGGCAATGAATGACAATCGTCTCCGACCATAATGAACCAGAAGTTCAACATATGACTTGTAAAAGGGAGAGAGAGCAGGTGGGAAATGGGAGCGACGTCCTCACTGCCACACAACTTCTTCCACTTTAGGAAGGGCTGGGAGGGGGAATCTCAGTGGCAGAGCATCAGCTCAGAATGCAGAAGGCCCCAGGTTTAATCCCCAACATCTGCAATTAAAGAACCTCGCAGGGCACGTGCTGGGAAAGACCTCCCTTGGCCAGCAGTCTAGGAGCTCTGCTGTCAGTCCAAACAGACAGTACTGAACTAGGTGGTCCAAAGGTCCGGTCTGGGAAAAGGCAGCTTCCTACGTTACAGTAACTCTTACTCTTTAGGGGTACAGATCTCAACCAATCCTTGCTCCTCTGAGTGCTGGAACAACAGGAGACCATACGCAATACTGCCACGTTTACTTAGAGAGTAAAGACACAAGGGCTGCGTGGGGGGCGGGGGCACAATGAGCTTGCGCCAGTTATCTAGACAAACGTCCTTAATGCTGTTCCAAGTTGGGCTCCCATCTTTGACTCCAGTGTAAAGCACAGACTCCACTTTTCATTTTTTTAATCTATATATTACCTTTCCTCTATTTTTGTACCTAACTAGATCAGCGTTCTCTCTCCTCTTTCTTCTCTAGCTCTCGGTCTGCCCATCTTTTCCCTTTCCTCTCTCACAGACTGTTGTGCCACTGCAAATTGCTTACTTATGGCTATAGGCCCCTGCTAGAAGACCTATGACCTGCATTCTTCAGCGTCAAACTTTAAAGCTTCTTGGGACAGGAACTTGTTTTTTTTTTCCTACACCGTATAAGTTGTTTGATTACAACATTATCTTTTTACAATGAGCCACAATAGAGCAGACATTAAAAGTATGCAACTATACATCCTTGTTAAGTGTTTTTATATTCTGAAGCCTTGCAACGACTACTGTCTTTGCTCACCCGAGGGCTTTTGCTTCCTATGGGAATCCCACAGTATTTCAGACTAGGAGGCAACAGCAGCAAAGGCAGCTTTGTGCTCTTACAACTGAACTCAGTTATTTTCTTAAGCCCCTTCCTGAGGTCTAAAACTCAAGGCAATTAACATCCTCCGCCCTGCTACACGGCACCTGGTAGGCTGTCGTTCCTCATCAATGTCTGCTCCCCACATTTTCATAAGCCCTTCCAGCTCTACCACCCAAAGGTTTGGACATTTGGAGGCACTCACCCGCGCAGTCCTGTCATCGTAGCTTTCGTCGGACATTAAGAAGTCACAGACCCCCCTCGTGGGAATGCTGGTGTTCTCTGTAATCCACGTGTGTAGGTAGACTTCCCCCAGCACCTGCTTCATATGTTCCCGTGTCAAATGCATTTCAACAGCTTCGATCTGGGCTTGGATTTCAAGAAGCTTTTCTTCAATTGGCTCTCGCCCTCCGAAGTCACTCGAGTGGGCAAGCGAATCATCCGCCAGGTCGTCCCCATCCTCTCCTTTGCTTGTTTCACTTGGGTTCCGCTTGCCCCCCCGCTTTGAAGTCCCCTCGTCTTCCACGCTCCCAGTCCCAGGGGAATGCACAAGTAAAACCTTGGGGTCCTCGTGCGAAGGTTTCCACAAGGCCTCAGAAGGCGTCTTTTGCAGCGACTGATACAAGATTCTCAAGAGGAACAACTTGAAGCGCCAAAAATAAGTAGACCCAAAGCTTTCGATCTTTTTGTCCAAGGCTTCTTGTAGGAACTGTGGGATGTGCTTGTCCTTCAAGATCTTCCATCGGACCAGATCCGTCAAGTCAACCTGCCTGAAAAGATTTTGGACAGAAGATTCCAGCAGCTGAGCCGCCACCTCCTCAAATGTCTTAAGAGTCACAAACTGAACCTGGTAGCTTTTGGTAATGGGGTGAAGGCCGTTGGTCATGCCTTCGGTGGTAATGACCGCCAGGTATGCCCCACACGGGCTCACCGCAATCCCGTGAGTCCGCACGGAGCCCAAAACTTCGGACAACTTTATCAGCTGGTGTTCAAATTTCAATGCAACGTCTGTGAAGATGGGAATCAGCTGCCTTACTTTCCCATCGACGGAGCACGTATAAACAGTACCGTTCTGTCTGTCTGCAGCCATGGAGACAATTGGCAAGGAGTGAAGCCCGGTCACGTGAGAGTTATGGACATTCAAGCCCGCTTTGGATATCAAGAGAAGACACCAGAAAACGTAGCAGCCTCTCGCAGCCACCACTAAACTGCAACTGCATTTCTGATAAGGGTGATAAAGAGGGATGCTCTTGATACTGTGGACTGGCAACTGGTCCATCTCTTGCCACAAAACCACAGGCTGTCTCAGCGTGAAATAGCCTTTGACTGCTTTCAGGTTGACCGGGAGGATTTTCACTGGCCCAAAGGCACTCCCCACAATGATCCCGCTCATCTTTCGGTTATTGTGCTCGTATTCCCACCACGACAAGACGCTGGGGGAATTTATTCCCGACTCTATGGTGCTGCAAGACGTGATGGACTCCTTGCCCACGAAAGGAAGCTGGAACTGCCAGATGGCGATATTTCCGTTCTCGAATATTACCGCCAGCAGTACGCTGCTCACGTCCCGACATTCGTTGTTATGCTTCACCTGTTGGGTGGTGCAGATCCCAGACCACTCCATGCGCACCGGGGTCTGCATGCTGTGCCTCCTCTGGAATTCAGAGAAGTCCCCCAAATCTCCCTTGGGGGCTTCCCCCTTACAAAGCTTGTAGCCATTCCCATGCAGGCGCTCCCCGTAAAGCTCAGTCAAGTCAACCAGCAGTACCCACTGCAGTCTGTTCAGGTTCGCATGGATGGTCAGTCTGTTGTCCATCGTTAAAGCCGCCAACAGGCACCTGCCGTTTGCATCGCAGCCCAGTGGAGACCAGCTGGAGTATCTGAAACCTCGCAGAGAGGGCAGCGACTTCCCTTCGGGGTTGAACACCCTGTCTAGCATGAAAGTCTGACTTAGGGTGGGATCTTTAGAACTGGCAAACTTTTCCTTGCACTCAGCAACTTCTTTTTTGGAACCAACCTGAAAAAGAAATGGTCAATTCAATCCACACGCAAATGCATTCAAGTGTTGTTATTATGCCTTAAGACTGAAGATGAACAAGGGAGCATTCGGTTGCGAGAGACCATTTCAGCAGACGCCAGGGCACATACCTGATGAAAGCTCGGGTGGCAGATCTCTCTTTTTTGCCACTGGGCTCTCTATGGCTCTTGATACACTAGCCCTACACAACAGTTCTTCTAGAGCAGGACTTGGCATATTTTCTTTGGCTCTAGGAGCCAGCCTAAAAATTTAGGAACTAGACCAGGGGGCTGTCAAATCTAAAAGGGATTTTTAGACCTTGACATAATACTTTTCCAGCTCCAGAGAAAAGGTCTCAATCACCAGTCAAGGACCCCCAGCCCCCAGCCTACTAACAGTAGAGAATTGTGTGGTAAATAGACTGTTGCATTGGCATGCCTGTCTTCATTGCCCGCCATTTCTCTCCTCCATACATGCCAGACTATTAGCCTCTCTGCCCCCTTGCTGCATCTTCTGCCATTGTTTTCTTGAGACTTCTCCACTGGGGTTTGGGGCGCTACAAGAGATGGTTCTCCTCAAGCCCACAAGGATCCTTCTGCTGCCCTTAACTCTTCATTTGTGTATTTCATTATTTATTGGATTTATAACCCGCCCGCCCCTGTACAACAGGGCTCAGGGTGGGTTAACAACAATGGCAACATGGTTACAAGCAATTAGAATAAAACAAGAAGGGGGACCCACGATACTTCTGGGGGGGAGGAGAAGCTCCACAGGAGGAGAAGGAAGCAGCCACAGGTGAGTCTTCTTCCCTTCCCCCCCCCCGTCCCCGGCACCCATGGCGAGGCCCGCACACCCCTCCAAGCCTTCTCCCTCTTTCCCCCTCAGTACCGGCGGTGAGGCCTGAACTCAGCCCACCAAGCTTTCTCCCTACCCCCTTCCCTAGTGGTGGTGGCAGTGAGGCCTGGCCAGCCTGTTGAACTTTCCCCCTCCCTCTCCCCCTGGTGGTGGCGAGGCCTGGTCGGCCCGCCAAGCTTTCTCCCTCCCCCCCCAGTGGCAGCGGCGGCAGCGGGGGCTGAGCTCGGCCCACCAAACTTTCTCCCTCCCCCCCGGGCGGCGGCGAGGCCTGGGCGGCTTACAGCCGCCGGCCAGCCAAGCCTTCTCCCGCCCTCGCCCCCTCTCTTTTGGGGGGATTTAAATATCCCCTGCATATTTTTTCCAAGTTTTCAGATTTTTCTGCACATATGGGGATTGCCCCAAGTGTGCAGGAAAACCTCTCTGCCCCCCCAAGTGCCCCTGATGTGCTGATTTAGATATCCTCACAGAGGGGGCGTGTTGGGAATTAGATATATAGATAATAACAATTTAGAATTAAAACAACTCTTAACAATACTACTAACAATCAATACAATGGTACGTAAAAAGAGAGTACAACAGATTGCCCCTTATCCAGAGGGGAGTAATATCATACAAAATGAACTAAGTAAGGAATAAGGGAAAGGGGGGGGGGTCGTCAGTCTTGAAGGAAACAGATGTTGTCCTCACCTGTAAGCCCGGCCGTACACCTCAGTCTTACAGGTCCTGCAGAATCACATCAAGTCTCACAGGGCCCGGGTCTCACTTGGCAAAGAGTTCCACCAAGTCAGGGCCAGGGCCGAAAAAGCCCTGGTTCTAGTTGAGGACAGCCAGATGCTCTTTGGGCCGGGCATCACTAGTAGGCTGTCATTTATTGAGCGTAATGCTCTTTGGGGGACATATCAGGAGAGGTGATCCCTCAGATATACGCTGATCCCTCAGATACGCTGGGTGTTCAACCTGGAGTCAGTGCAGTTGGCGGAGCACCGGTTGGATATGGGCTCTAAATGGGGTTTCCATGAGAACACGGGCCGCTGCATTCTGGGACAACTGAAGTTTCCAGGTCAGCCTTACGGGTAGCCCTGCGTACAGCAAGTTACAGTAGTCGAATCTGGAGGTGACCGTTGCATGGATCACTGTGGCTAAGTCCGGGTGTGACGGGAAGGGGGCCAGTTTTCTAACCTGGTGCAGATGGGAAAATGCCAGCCTAGCCACATTTGTGATCTAGTCCTTCACTGAAAGGGTGGCCTCCAGAATCACACTCAGGCTCTTGACAGTCGGTGCTGCTGTTAAAGGCACACACTGTCAAGAGCTGGGAGTTGACACCCAAATACGGAATCTCCCCGGCCCAGCCACAGAACCTCTGTCTTAGATGGATTCAATTTCAGCTGGCTCTGTTTCAGCCATCCAACCAGCCTCCAAACCTTTAGCAAAAATATCTGGGCAGTATCTGGCAGGCCGCTCATCAGCGGATACAGTTGGGTGTCATCGACATACTGGTGACAAGCCAGCCCAAAACTCTGCACCAGCTGGGCGAGGGGATGCATACAGATGTTAAATAACATTGGGGAGAGGATTGCCCCTTGGGGAACACCACACACCAAGGGGTATCATGGTGAGACCTTCTCCCCTAGCGCCACCCTCTGTCCCTGACCTTGGAGAAATTAGACAAGCCATTTCAAGGCTGTCCTACAGATCACCACACTGGCAAGGTGGTGGGTCAACAGATCATAATCGACAGTGTTGAACGCTGCCATTAAATTAGGCAATAACAGCAGTGCTGACCCGCCTCAATCTAGCTGTCTACGAAGGCCATCTGTGAGAGCGACCGGTGCCGTCTTTGTCCCATGGCCGGGGTGGAAGCTGGACTGAAATGGGTCCAGAGCCAAGGTTTCCTCCAAGGCAGTCTGGAGCTGTTTCACTGCTGCTCTCTCAACTACCTAACCTAGGAACAAAAGATTCGATACTGGGTGGTAGTTGGAAGGATCAGTCAGATCTAGAGATGGTTTCTTCAAGAGCAGCATCATCACAGCCTCCTTCAATCCCCTCGCGTAGACCCCCAAACTCAGGGACAGATTTAAAACTTCCACCAGGGGGATTCATACTGCATCACCACTGACTTTCACCAGCCATGATGGCACGGATCTAAGATGCAGGTGGTGGGCTTCACAGCACTCAGAATCCTGTCGACATCAGCCCAGGAGAGTCAACTGAACAATACTGGACCCAGAGACGGCCAAGGGGCCTCCAGTTCACATAGTGGTTCTGGCGGAGCGACGATGCAACTCCATTAACCACAGCTTTTTAGTAAGTGCACTACCCATTTTCTCAAGTGTCCATTCACTTTCTTATTTCATATTTATACTTCGGCCGGGGTGGACCCTTGACCAGAAACCAGCAATGACCCTTGACCAAAAACCATTAAGCAAACATTGACAGAGGAGGGGGAGTCACTGAAGACCTCTCAGAGCACCATGCAAAGGCTGACTGTCCACAGATGTCAAATCACTCAAGAGAACCAGCTGACATGAAGCAATTTCCTGTGAGCTTCCTTGTGTGTCCCCCTTTGTCCACCTTCTCTTAGCAGTCCTCACCTCATGCTTGGTCTGCCTCCCTTGGCTCATCCTGGTCTCTCTAGGATTGCCACCTTTTTCCTGCCCCTGTGCCTTTAAATAGCAGCCTGATAAGCAGACACTTTCCCCTGTTATGGAGAGAAAGACAATGAGACACTCTTTGCATGTTTAGTCAGTGCGTGGCAGGCTCCTGCTAAAGGCACAGCAAGCGAGCTGGCAAACCTACCCCCAGGAGAATCACTTCTTTTCCTAAGGGTGTTTCTTCGCCCTTGGCTAGACTCCGGTGCCAGCATCAGCTGCATAACAAACGGGCATAAGACAAGCAACATTTTCCCAGCATGGAGAAGCAGCAGGAGGTGGGGAATGGCTAATATAGCGTGGTGGCTGAACTGAGCTAGAACATCCTGAGTTCATATCCCATCTCAGCCACAAATGTACCTGATGGCCTCAATCAAGCCACTATTCTTTCAGCCTCACTCAGCCCTCCTCAACTGCAATATGAAGCTTGGACCCTCACAGGTCTCTGTGAAAGGAAGACATTTCTATCAGAGAAGTGGAACTCTTCCTCCAACCACAACCAAGTACTGCTCCTGGAGTTAAGAGGACCTCCCAAAAAAGCAGGGATGCAAAGGACTGCAGGAGGAGGAAATTACTGAAAAAAACCATTCATCCGCCAATCCACAGAAATCCTTCATGGGCTCCATATTTTATTTTATTTATTTATTTATTTATGATTTCTATCCCACCCTCCCAGCCGTAGCCGGCTCAGGGCAGCTTACATAAAACAGTATGTAAATTACAATTAAAACAATTAAAACACTTAAAACCATACTACAACCAATTGATGACATAAAGTGCTAGTATTAATTGTCCTTGGTTGTTGTTGTTACTTCAACGATGGCTGCCGTACTCGGTTCTCTCTCCAGATGATCAGCTCTCAGATCTCCTTTAGATATCATAGAAGTGATTGGCACCGGCACCATTGTTAAAATCCCAGGGACACAGGGCTCTCTATTATATTGCTATTAACTATTGATGATGTTTAGTAGTGGTGGTGGCTCCAAAGGCCTGGTGGAAGAGCTCCATTTTACAGGCCCTGTGGAACATAGAATGCCTCCATCTATATAGTCGACATATTGGGGGAAATCCATATTGTGGTTTTTACCTTTTATACTACAATCCTAAAACTACACTACAATCCTAAAACTGGCTATGACAGCGGTTCTCAGAGTCCCTAAACAGTCATCCTGCCTACCCAGCTCAGTTGTTTAAGCAGGCAACACCGCAAGCAGAGTTAACAAACAGTGGCCACCATACTCCTGTCCGGGGACAGGGACACCAGCGGCAGACCGCCTCAGAAAACGGGAGTTCGTATGTAGACGCCCCCACCGCCAACAATCCCCGGCTTAAGCAATCTCCTCTGAGCACTTGCTTCCAGTGTTCCCTCTAAGCTTGAGTTATTGTGAGCTAGCTCACAGTTTCTTAGCCTCCAGCTCACACATTTTTGTCTTAGCTCAGGGAGGAGGGCTCCAGGACAAACTAATTTATGCAGTAGCCAAAGCACCTGCTCACAACTTTAATGCCAGTGGCTCACGAGGTAGAATTTTTGCTCACAGGACTCCACAGCTTAGAGGGAACATTGCAAGTTGCTTCATCTCCCCGTCTTTGGCTAGCGGCGTCCCTCGCACCTTGCGGCGGGGAGTTCCACACAACCCACCCGCTGCCCCCACGCCCGCCCGCCCAGCCCCACTGCCCCGGCCGGCGCCCACCTTGAGGTGGCAGGAGGCGGCGGGGGCGGGCACGGCCGTGCGGTGGATGACGAGCTCGGGGGCGGCGCCGTTGATGTCGCTGAGCTGCTCGAGGACGGCGATGCTGCGGGCCGTGCTCACCGACACGCGGTGGTCCTCCGACCAGGCCAACGGCTCCAGGCCGCTCACGCCGTGCTGCAGCCGCACCGACGGGTCCCGCCGCACCGCCGTCAGACGGAAGCCCGCGCTGCTGTTGCTGCTGCTGCCGCCGTCCTCGCCGCCGCTGCTGGGCCCCGCCGCCGCTGCCGACTCCGTCTCCTCGCCCTCCTCGTCGTCGCCCTCGGGTGGCGCGGAAGAAGGGAGCGGAGGGCTGGTGACCGACCCCGCCGCCGGGCTCCCTGCTGCAGCAGCAGTTGCTGCCGCCGCCGCCATCTTGCCGCCGCGACCCCCCACAGACATTGCGCATGCGCCGCGACTCCAGGCCCAGAGCGCGCCGCCATGTGAAAGGACCCCCGTCGGGCTGCAAGAAGGTGACTAAATCGATGCCCGAACAGGTGACTGGCGCACCAGCTGGCAGATGCTCTGGTGTAAAACTCCCGACTAGGGAAGAAACACCCTTCTCTCCTCTGGCATCCGCAACATGTCTAGATACAGAGTGCCTTTGGGTTTGGACGATCCGTCCTTGGATGTCCTGGTTTGTGGATGTGGCCGGATCCTTTTATAAGGAGGTCGGAATGGCTTTGCCAGAACTAGTCTGATGTTTAAATCTGGCATGGTCCCGGTCACACGGGTGGTGGGCGGCTTATCGGGGCGCTATCACACCGTAACATCTGGCAAGTGGAGCGCACCCGTGGCCAACCCGTGGCATACCGCCGAAAAAGTGCAATAAAAAACCAGTACCTCATATGTAGTGGCAAACGGTTTGCCACGGGCTGTCTCCGGACTCCTGCGGTGTGATCGCGCCGGCCCTCCTTACTGCGCAGGCGGGGAGGACAGGACCCGTGGTTTGCCGCCGGCGCATCAGATCGCATTCTGGCGGCGCTAATTGCACCAGAGCAATTAGCCGCCGCCACCCCCCCCCCCCATTATCCGGCCCGTGTGACCGGGGCCCTTGAATAGCAAACAAAGGGATTCATTTCTTTATATCTAATCACCTTTTAATCTCAGCGTGTTAGATCTCAATAGATGTTGCATGTACCATTACAACAATAGATATCAAAACATTTAAATCAACCTTTTAAAAATTTTATGTCCCCACCATCAGGATATTCCCTCTTGGCCCAGCCTCAGGCTGCCCCAAAAGTTCTCAGAAAAAGCTCTGTTTTGCAGGCTTCTGGCCCCTTCTAGGACTCTGTTCCAAAGGCATGAGGTGGCCACTGGAAGGCCTGAGCCAAGACTGTCAGAGAACAGGCTGTGGACAAGAGAGGCTACTGACAGTAGACCCTGCTGAGAAGAATGAAGCTTCCATACAGGATCATAGAAGGAGAGGCCATCCTTCAGGAGCTTTAAGGGTGATTAATATCTTGAATTAGACTTGAAAACTAATTGGCAACCAGTGAAAGGGCCTGCCTGCTAGCCCAAGAGAACAAATGAGCTGTCCATTTTGCATAAGCTGCTGCTTCTGAATCATCTTCAAGGGCAGCCCCATGTAAAGCACATTACAGTAATCTAGTCAGGAGGTTAGTGAAGTTTGGATAAGCATGGCAAGGTCAGGCACCTGCAAACAGGCAGGGCGCCAACTGCTTAAACAGATGTAGTGGGGGGGGGAGTTTTAGGGGGAGGCTATTCTGGACACCTGTTTCCCCAACAGGAGTCCAGGATCCAGCAAGGCTCTCAAGCTGTTAATAGAGTCAGCAAAAGCTGGACACCATCAGTGGTAGGAAGTTTTGTTAATGGGGCGGGGGAGCCCAATAACAGAACCGTACATTTTAGCATGTAGTCCTATTGTATTGTATTAGGTAAAGGTAAAGGTTCCCTTGCTCGAAAGCCAGTCGAATCCGACTCTAGGGTTGCGGTGCTCATCTCCGTTTCAAAGCCGAAGAGCCAGCGCTGTCCGAAGATGTTTCCGTGGTCATGTGGCCTGCATGACTAAACGCCAAGGCGCACGGAACGCTGTTCCTTTCCCACCGAAGCGGTCCCTATTTATCTACTTGCAATTTCTTGCTTTCAAACTGCTAGGTTGGCAGGAGCTGGAACTAGAGACAGGAGCTCACCCCATCTTGCGGCACCCGGGTCTTGAACTGCTGAACTACTGACCTTCCACAGCCTGCAGTTCAGCGTCTTAACCACTTGAGCCACCGCAGCTCCACAGCTGTATTGTATTAGCTTACAGTATATAATCAGCCTTGAGACTCAATGAGAGAATGGCAGACTATAAGAATACGGTTGCCATCCTCCAAATGGTGGCTGGGTATCTCCTGATATTACTTGTGATCTCCAGGCAAGTAGGGATGCCATCCTTCAGGCGGGACCTAGGGACCCCGCCCCCCCCCCTCAGATTTACATCTCATCTCCAGACTACAGAGATCAGTTCCCCCAAAGAAAATGGATGCTTTGGAGGGTGGACTCTGTGGCATTGTATCCCACTGAGGTCCCTGCTCTCCCCAGGCTCCATTCCCAAATCTCCAGGCACTTCGCAACTTGGACCTGGCCACCCTACATTCCCACCCCCCACCGGTGGCCAGGGAGGACCTGGCAACCCTAGGTGACAGAGATCAGTTCACCTGGCAAAAATGGCTGCCTTGAAAGGTGGACTCTATGGCATTAGATCCCACTGAAGCCTGTCACCTCCTTAAACCCCGCCCTCCTCAGCCCCCTCTCCCAATATCCCAACCTGGTGCTGTCAGACCCCCCCC